TCGGGGTCTGCTGACCCGGGGCCACCCAGACAGGCCCTTCAGGATCCTGCGAGACCCTGCCCGATCCTGCACCCGAGCCTGGGTTCAGTGCGCCCCTGGCTCTGCAGGATCCTGCAAGATCCGGCGCTCTGGCTGATCCCCGCCTCCTTCGGGGGAAACGAAAGGGGGGGATAGCACAGGGCAGCGGAGAGAATCAGCTCACGTAGCTGAATTTTCCAGCGCCTCCCGGCGCCGGGAGGCGCCCATGCATCGAGGAGTGGGCCCAGCGGCGGGGCCGAAACCAGCTGCATGCAGCAGATTTCGCAATCCCCCTTTCCCTATCCCCCCCTTTCGTTCGGCCCGACTCTTGAGCCCGACCAGGAATCCTCGAGGGCGCTGCGGGCCTCTGCTGGGCCAGCCGGGGCCCAGCCCGACGGGGCGCCAGTGGGGGGGGGGCGCGCCAAGCGAGGAGAGGCACCAGGCCGTCGGCGGGGAGGTTCCTCCCCGAGTGGGAGGACGTGGTAAGCTTAGGTCGGGCATGTCCCTCTATAGGCGGAGTGTGGTCGAAAAATAAAAGATAATACACAATAATTCAAAAATGCTCAAACATAGTCAAAAAGTTCCCCCGGCTATTTCTTGACTATTTTTGAATATCCCTCCTGGAGGGACGTGCCCGACTTTCTAGTAATCCTGAAAGGTCTTGAGAACCCCCCCAATAGGGGGCAACTAGTCATTTTTGCTCGGCGGCCTCACTCAAGGCCTGGGGTGCAACCAATAGAAGGCAACTAAACAGTTCTGTTCCGGCGCACCCGCCGCGCAACAACGCGAAAGAGGAGGAGAGGGAAGAGGAGAAGGAGGGAGAAGGAGGAGGAGGAGGATGAGGAGGAGGAGGAGGAGGAGGCGGAGGTATTGGGACCAGTCCTATTCACCGCCGAGGGAACAGGGGGGGGAACCAAAACTCGGGTAAGGGGGGAGGGACGTTGGAGTAGGATCGGAGTTCGAAGATCAAGGTTCGATAGCGCTTCTGGCTTTTCCTGGGCCCCATCGCAACGGCTGGACCAGACTCGGAATTTCAGCCAGAACGCACCCCATGCGGGGATCTGCTGACCTGGGTCAATCCACGCCCAGGTCGGTCAGGCTCAGATCCTGCACGATGCTGCAAACCTGCAGGATCCTGCACCCAAGCCTGGGACAGAGCAGCCCTGGCTCTGCGTAGTCCTGCAAGGTCCGGCGCTCTGACTGACCCCCGCTCGCATCGACCCCCGCCTCTTGAGCCCCGACCCACGACATGTCCTCTGGGGTCCAGGGGGTCCTTCCCCCCCACCCCCCTCGGCACAGACCTCCGCGCGTCGTGCAAGGTGTGTATCCTGGCGAAGAACCCAACCATGCACAGTTGTGAGTACCGTCGTTGCGGATATCGCCTCCGGGGGATCTCCTCACGGGGCCACGAAGCCTGCGAAGAGTGTGCCGATGTGGGGCGGGGCCGCCATGTGGGCGCTGCCACTGGGGTGTTAGGCGGAACGCACTACGAGGCCGCGGAGAGTGTGAGGGGTGCGCCGCAGTGGGGCGGGGCCGCCACTGGGGCCTTCGGTGGAGCCTCCTATGGGGCAACCAAACAGTGTAATGGGTGGGGGAAACCCATGCGAGTACAGCCACGGGGGCAGTCGGTGAAGCTCTCCATGAGGCCATGAAGCGCCGTGCTGGACAGGGGGGACGCACGAGAACACCGCCAGTGAGGCCTTCGGTGGAGCTCCCTAGGTGGCCACCAAAAGCTGCACTGGGTAAGGGAAGGGCATGCGACTGCATCCAGTGGACCCTTCGGTGAAGCTCCCCATGGGGCCACGAAGCGCTGGACTGAGTGGGGGTGACGCATGCGGGCGGTGCCACTGGGGCCTTCGGTGGAACGCCCTATTGGGCCACGAAGAGCTGTACTGGGTGGGTGTGACGCATGCGGGCGGTGTCAATGGGCCCTTCCCTGGAGCTCCCGATGAGGCCACGAAACGCTGTACTGGCTGGGGGTGACGCTGTACTGGGTGGGGGTGACGCATGCGAGCGGTGCCACTGGCCCCTCGGTGGAGCTCCCTATGGGGCCACGAAACGCTGTACTGGTGGGGTGACTCATGCGGGCGGTGCCACTGGGGCCTTCGGTCGAGCTCCATGTGGGGCCACGAAACGCCGTACTAGGTGGGTGTGACGCATGCGGGCGGTGCCACTGCGGCCTTCGGTGGTGCTCCCTGTGGGGCCACGAAACGCTGTAGTGGATGGGGGTCACGCATGCGGGCGGTGCCACTGCAGCCTTCGGTGGAGCTCCCTATGGGGCCACGAAACGCTGTACTAGTAAGGGTGGCGCATGCGGGCGGTGCCCCAGGGCCTTCGGTAGAGACCTATGGGGCCACGAAGCGCTGTACTGGGGGGGGTGACGCATGCGAGCGGTGCCACCGCGGCCTTCGGTGGAGCTCCCTGTGGGGCCACGAAAGGCTGTACTGGGTGGGGGGTGACTCATGCGGGCGGTGCCACTGGAGCCTTCGGTGGAGCTCCCTACGGGGCCACGAAACGCTGTACTGGGTGGGGGCGGCGCATGCGGGCGGTGCCACTGGGGCCTTCGGTGGAGCTCCCTGTGGGGCCACGAAGCGCCGTACTAGGTGGGGGGTGACGCATGCGGGCGGTGCCACTGCGGCCTTCGGTGGAGCTCCCTGTGGGGCCACGAAACGATGTACTGGGTGGGGGTGACGCATGCGGGCGGTGCCACTGGGGACTTCGGTAGATCGATCTCCCGTGGGGCCACGAAACGCTGTACTGGCTGGGGGTGACGCTGTAATGGGTGGGTGTGGCGCATGCGGGCGGTAGCACTTGGGCCTTCGATGGAGCTCCCTATGGGGCCACGAAACGTGTGAAGGGTGTGCTGGAACGGATGTAATGATGATAATGATGATGATGATGCTGATGATGCTGATGATGCTGATGCTGATGATGCTGATGCTGAAGCTGAAGCTGAAGCTGATGATGATGATGATGATGATGATGATGATGATGATGATGATGATGATGATGATGATGCTGATGATGATGACGACGGACGGAGGAGGAGGGGGAGGAGGAAGGAGGAATGGGAGGAAGGAAATAAGGGAGGAGGAACGCGGGGACCGTCTCTTCGCAACGAGGACCCAACACCACAGGATGGAAAATGGCGGAGAGATCCAGAGTCGGGTGTGCGGGCAGGCAGGCAGCATGCAGGCACCCTCCGTCGGTCAAAGGACCGGCCCGGCGCGGGGCTCGGGTGGCAGGCACAGCAGCAACAACAACAACAACGACAACAGCAACAGTAACAGCAACAACAGCAACAACAACAACAACACCAACACCAACACCAACAACAACAACAACAACAACAACAACAACAACAACCACAACAACAACAACAACAACAACAACAACAACAACAACAACACTAACAACAACAACAACAACAACAACAACAACAACAACAACAACAACAACAGCAGCAGCAGCAGCAACAGCAACAGCGACAGCAACAGCAACAGCAACAGCAACAACAACCACAACCACAACCACAACAACAACAACAACAACAACAACAACAACAACAACTACAACAACAACAACAATGCAGTCATACACCCGGGGGTACGGCGTAGGACACTGAATTCCCGTGCAGCTGGGCACTCCAAATGCGTCCTCGTTTGAGGCCAGATGGAAGCTCCACGTGAGCAGACTTCAGACACTGATTGGGCGGAGGGAAGGAAGTATGCTCACCAGTAGGTAGGACAGCGGAGGTAGGCACAGCGGTGCCTTAATACAGTATGCTCAGCTCGCGGAGGCCTCTTCCAGACGGCTCCCTGCACCTGCGTCCGCATCGAGAGCCAGCCATCAGGGCCGCTCGTGTAAACATTGGAAGCACGAACTCGCGAACGTGTAACCATACTGTCTTCCCAACGCTTCCGCTGTCTACCGAGGAGGGTGCACGAACCAGGACGGGAACAAGCTGACCTATCATCGCTCAGGACGCTACTGCGTGACGGCCCCCTGCAGTATCTGACTACCTGCCAGACCACCCAAACCTGACCCGAAAATCCACAATTCGGGATGGGAGGGGTACAGTGGAAACCCATGCCAAGAAACCCCCTGCTTGCCTCCAGGGTGCCCTCGGTTTCTTGGGTTTCGATGAAATTAAAATCGAAAGCGCGACGTTCCCACACCAGGAATCGGTGGACGTCCTGGGGTGTCAGGGTTAGGTTTCTTGTGGAAGGTTTCTTGTGGTCGAGCTCTTACCATACGGGTTTCAAATGCATGTTTTCAATGTTCCCCGACACCCCTCCCTCTGGGACGGGAGGGCCAATTGTGGCATTCTCGAAGGGTGGTATGCAATGGTGAGCATCGTCATCCTACATAATAGACGCACAGGGCTGTCCGTCTGGTCAGCGCGGGCAACGAAGTAAATCTAAGAAGAGTCCCTCCTATCCGTCGCAGGGGGGGTCCAAAAAGGACCTTGGCACTGATGCCACTGTCACTGGCGCCGTCCATCATGCCTACGGCGATTGCGCCAGCAACATAACCCGAATTGATGTACGGGAATGCTTCGACGAATCGCGGGCCGTGGCGGCCACGATGTGGCGCAGGCTTTTCCACATCCAGGCCACCTGGTCAGCATGACACAAGGAACAAGCACTCGAGACTGCTAAAGAGCCGGACGGTTGATGACGCGAGCCGTTGAGCTAGCACAAAAACGCAGAAGTTGATGTGAACCGAACGGGAGCGTACACTCAAGGCTGGGTGAATATTAATCAGGCTGCTGGCCACGACGCATGCCGACGCTACCAGTGCCTCAAAAAGCAAAGCCGAGTAACCGCTGCAATATACTCGCGGTTGCCAGTGAGCAGATACATCTGGGCGCTCGCGCTAGCTTCCAGGAGGACCCCGACTTCGCGTGACAAACATTTCTGGCTTGGCATCGCCAAGCCGAAGGACCTGTGCCGTGCGCTGTAGTGATGGGGGAGGCATGCCAGCCACCACCAAAGTACTGACAAACAAGGCGGCATGCACGGAGCGCGATGCAGCAATTTGCACGTTTTTCGAACGAGGCTGGCCCGTGAAAGCTGCTGAGGATGGGCCCCAGGGCCGGGATGCAAGGGTTACCTTGGGAAGGTTGCCCATCCTTGCTATGCGGGTTGACTGCACACAGACCATCAGCAGAACCCGCCGACAGCCTTGTGTCCGACAAGCGCAGCAACGAACCAATATACGCCTTACCGAGACCCCATGGGCAACGAAGTGACTCTGGGGCCACGGAGCTCCACCGAACACAGAACGCTCAGCAACACAACTCCGTGGCATCGCAGGAAGCTGGCAATGCCGATCGGGATCCAGGACCCACGCAACGAGGCGATTGTTTGACTGAAGTGGACGACGCCCGCGGCGACAACGACAGCTAGTCCTCGCGAAACAAACAATAAACATTACAACAAGGAAAAAAACAAATCAAGGGATGGTTTTCGCAAAGAACATCGACCGGGAACCCGGGAGCCCGGGAACCCAGAACCCACCGGAATCGGCCCGGAACTAATAACGGAACCCGGGAACCTGGAACCGGGAATCCGGGAACCCAGCCTGCTACCAAAATCGGCGGGAAACTTTCGCCAAATCTTTCTTCAACTTCCACTAGGACACCTTCAGTGCAAGCACTGCTTGGGGAATAGGTGCTCATGTTGGACATGAGCGAGCTGGCGCATCTCTATCGCTATACTACCAACTCTGAGCCTCCTCTACATCGCAGAGCGTGGGGGGGGGGCTGGCCGCAGGCAGGCCACTCCGCGGCAAAGGCCTGGCCCCGATGTGTGGCCGCCGCGAGCGCCGCGTCGACCTCCCACACCGATCCCGAGCTTTGGTCTGGGGCCGGGTACAGTCAACCTGTAGAATAAGGAGGCGCGATGAGGATGCAAGGGCCTTGGAAGCTCATTTCGAAGTTCTCCGAGCGGGGCGCGGTCAACGAAAGCGGCCAAGGATGGACCGAGGAGGCAAGGATGCAAGGGTACCCTTGAGAAGGTTGCCCATCCTTACTATGCGGGTTGATTGCATCACGCAACGAACTGCTGTCGGCCCCCATCGAGGGGCGGCGGCGAAGGGGCAGCGGCGAAGGCGACGACTGCTGGCAGGGAGGCCGAAAACAGCGAAGAAACTCGAGAAACCCTTTTTCTTCGGGACCCCGTTGCGTATGGCCGCGCAAAACCGAAGGAGCGGCGGGGGCGAAGACGACGGCGGCGACCCAGCACGGATAGAGGAAGGCAAACCTGCATTAACTTCGGCTTTCGGGGGTCCGCTGGGAACTCTTGGATCGGTGCTGGGCCCTCTTCCGTGGCGCGCGGAGCGCGCTGGGCGGCGCTGGATACGCCGCAGGGGGGGGGGGGGGGCAGCGCCGATCCAAGAAACCCGCGCGGATCTCAGAACGTTGATCAGTCAGCCAGTCAAGGGACTGATGGGCAGTGTTCGCTCAGTCAGCTCAGGAAACAGAGCGTCAGGGGGAGGCAGCTCAGAGGTCCGCTGCGGTGCGAGGTTGGGGTGGCCTGAGCGCTTCGCGCAGTGTTAAACAGGGGCTCCCAGAGAAAGCCTCTTGAGCAAAGAAAACATGAAAATCGTGCAGGGCTGGAGGTCTGGACCTTTTCGCCTGGAGGTCTCGACCGTTTCCCTTTTCCCCGCGGACTGGCGTTTCGTCCCGAGTCGTCCTCTGACGTCCCCCGGGGCCCAGGGAGGGGCCCTGGAAGCCGACAACAGCCGGAAACATGCCGCAGTGTTGTTTGCCTACTAGCGTTTCGCTATGGAGGTCTTCGGAGAGTTAAAGAGATTGCCTGGTCCGGCTGCCGTTGCGCCTGCAACGTCCTCGCAGCGCGTGCTCTCGCCGCAATGCTGGCTACATGTTCAGTCCAGACGGCCACACCAGGATGCAGATGGCCGTGCCCTCACCCGTCCCCAATCGCCGACCTCCCACTCCTCGACCCGCCGCTTCACCTGTGCTGCGATGGGGGTGCGTTGCAGGGGTGACTGTTGCTCACGGCGCGAGGCGGCCTGGGCTCCTCCGATGCACGGCGACCATGGGGGAACAGCAGAAAGTCATAAACAAAACGTTCGGAGGTCCGCGCGAGGTTCTAGGATTAGGTCGGGCGTGTCCTCCTACAGGCGGATGTTGGACGAAACACTCCAAATACTAAAAAAAAAAAAAAAAAAAAACTACGCCATTTTTCTTAAAAAAAAAAAAAAAAAAAAAAAAAAAAAAAAAAAAAAAAAAAAAAAAAAAAAAAAAAAAAAAAAATCCCCTGACTAAGCTGTCTTATTATTTGACATTCCTCCTGCAGAGGGACGTGCCCGACTGGATTCTGGGATCCGTGCCCGGGCCGCACCCCCTGGCGCGAGGAACGCGCCAAGGGCGGCGCCAGAGGCGCCGCCAAGGGGACCCAGTGCCGATCGGAGACATCCGCGAGAAGCGTCGGCAGTCCATGGTGAACGATTCCTCATTCGGCGTTTCGACACTGGGCGGAGGGGGGGGAGGGGGGGAGGTCTGGCTCTAGACCTCTGCTCAGTGCGACTGTTTGCAGCGCTGCGTCCTGTGGGGGAGACGCCGCCTGCTCGAAGGAGGCGCCGTAAAACAGCCAAGATGTACTGCTCCATGGGGGGGCGGGGGGGCGGGTGTTGGGGGGCCCGCGCCAATCGGGAAAACAATGAATAAAAAAACGATCACATGTTTAAATGTTTCTTTTGGACGCCGAGATGGGTACGGAAAAAATGGGTGCAATGCCCAACAACAAATGTTGTCCCAAACCAACAGCGGCCGCTGTTTGGCAGGCGGCCTCCTGTCTCGAATGGACACAGGCCGCGGCGGCGCGGACAGCGAGTCCTGTTCCAAACGAACAAGATCCGCTGTTGGGCAGTGTGCCCATTCTTTCCGTGCCCATTTCGTTCGTGCAGATTTCTTGTTTCGTCTTCGAGGGCGGCGGCGCCAAAGACGACGACGGCGGCCCGGCCCCTCACCCGGCGGCGCCTGTGGCGCCCCTCACGGCCGGCGCGCCCTCCGCGCCGCCCTTCGAGGCCTTGGCGCCTCGCGGCCGCCCACTCGCACCCCCGACGTCAGGACTTCCTCACCACGCCGACCCCCAAAGGTCTCGACCCTCCTCCTCCTCCTCCTCCTCCTCCTCCTCCTCCAAGCTCCCTCAAGCTCCTCCAAGCTCCTCCAAGCTCCTCCTCCTCCTCCTCCTCCTGACGTTTCTGACGTTTCTCGCTACACAGCGTCTTACCCTCCTCCTCCTCCTCCTCCTCCTCCAGTCCCCGGGACCGGTTCCTCATCCTGAGTCGTCTTCTGGCGATCCCGAGGCCCGGTGAGGGCCCCCCGAGGCCCAAACACAGGGCAGAGCCTGCCGCCGTGACTGCCTCGGGACCCGAGGGGGTGGTCCGGGCACGGCGACCCCCCGCGGCGGCGACGACGGCGGCGACGACGGCGGCACCGTGGCCGACGAGGGCCGGCGACCGCGGGCGGCGTGGCCGGCGGGCGGCGGGCCGCCGACGACGACGACGGCCGCCAGCGCCCGCGACGCTCCCGGCGCCCACGGCGCCGCGGCGACGCGTCGGGCACCCGGCGGCGCCGGCAGCGGCGGCGGCCGCCGCGGCCACGAGGGGCCGAGGCGCCCGGCGGGCGCGGGCAGCGGCGGGGGCGACGAGGACGGGCAGCGGCGGCAGGAGGGCACCCCCGCAGGAGCAGGCGGCCCGCCGCCGGCCGAGCGGAAGCACAGTGGAGGGCACTCGCCCCCGGGAGGCACGCGCGGAGGTCCAAGACGAGCACGAAGAGCAGCAGGGCACCCTCCCCGGGCCGACCGCGACCGTGTGGCGACCCCTCTCCTCGACGTTGTGGAGCCATCGATTGGAGAGAAATGGCCAAGCTTGGGGACATTACAATCGGGGGCATCGGAGCTCCAGAGGGGTGCGTCTGGATAGCCCCGCGTGGGTGCGTACCTATACATCGAACAATGGGCATGGACAGAATCTTTTGGAGCTCCGCGCGGATGTCTTGGATCTGCGCTGGACACCCCTCCCCGGCGCGCGGAGCGCGCCAGGGGCGGCGCCGACGGCGCCACCAGGGGGAGGGAGGCCAGGCGCGGATCCAAAAAATCCGCACGGAACCCCAAATATGTGTTTATACATTGTTGTTTCGTCTTCGAGCGTATCCCAACAAAAATCGCAAATACTCCAACAGTAATCACTCATGGCCACAAATGGTTTAAACATCGTCCCGAAACTATGTAGTGACTATTTCTGCAGATTCCTCCTGTAGAGGGACAGAACCCCGACCTAAGTGTATACCCGAGATCCCCCTCCTTTCTGAACGGCACTCTGTCCTGTGCCCACCCGTGCTGCCCGCGCCCCCCTCGTCGTTTGGGCCTGTGTGCCGGTCTGGCGGCTATGTTGTCGCCGTCGCCGCCCCGCCGCCGCCTCGTCGCAACCCATCGTCTGGGCTTGTCTGCCAGTCTCGCAGTTATGTTGCCGACGGCGCTTTCCCGTCGCCGCATACATTGCATTACATAGTTTTTTCACAAACACACACACACACACACACACACGCACACACACACACACACACGAGGGCAAACTTATCGGTTCCCACCTTCGGATTGCAATTTTCACATGAATCTGCCCCATCGCCAATCCGAAATATGAATTAGTACCATCCAACCCTGGCCGGTATCCGCCCCGCCCCCCCGCCGTCCTTTGCAAATAATGTTATGCACGCGCACTCGTTCATCAAAAACCATCAATTTTAGATAACCCCTTGCAACAAAAAAAGGACGAGGTGCGCACGCGCGCGTCGTCTCACGCGCATGCCAACATCCTTCAACAACCTTCGGTTTCGTCACCGTTCCCAAATCGAATCTCCAAAAAATATACAAAAAAAGTTTCGCACCACGGATTGTCAAAACACGTTTGCGCCTGCGCTCTTGCGAATTATTTGGAAAACCATTTTCTGTTCACCATGTTCATAGCATGCTACCTAACGGGTTTCACGCGTGTTTTTGAAATCGTTCGAACGCCCTTGCGCGCGCGCTGTCCGAGAACCTTTTTTTTTTTCTGCAAAGAACGGGGCCAAATGCACGCGCGCGCGGCGTCGCGGGCGCATGCCGAAATCCGTGAAAAATTGCCTGTTCCGTAACATGTCAAAACAACAAATATAAACACATATACAAGCACATGGTTTCGCAACATAAGCGTTCAACTAAATGTGCGTTCGCGGTCTTGCGAAAAGGGCCTCTCGCGCCGCATGCCGACATCATTCGCACGGCCTTGCGCGCGTGCCGGGGGGGGGGGAACGATCCGTGCCAAATAAAACCATGCGGACCACTCTCGCGCGTCGGCCGCGCGCGCGTGTCAAACTCTGTCCAAAACCTTCATCACCGACGCGGTGACGCCGTCGTCGTCGTCGGCGCGATCAGCATCGGCGCCCGCACTGGCCGCGCCGTCGTCATTGTCAACATCGCCACGAACATCGCCACAATCATGATCGAGCCTACCCTTGTCGACCAGCGGTCAGCGCCACCGCCAAACTAGCTGGCCGCGCAACTCTAGCTGGCCGCTGTGCGCGCGTGCTTGGGTTTGCGCGGCCGCAGACATGCACCAGCCAACGCCAAGCACTCATCGCCATCGCCGCCGCATGGATTTTGCAAATCAATATGCGGATGGATGCTTGCGGGAACACGGAATGCGTCAACTCGTTTTCCCAAAAATCATTTGCAGCACATAGCTTCTCCTATCTACACAAGATGACTCTACCCTCCCCCCCCCAGGATCATGGAGACTCTTTGTCCCGTGTGGACACTGACATGAGATTTTGCCACATCGTCCATCCTAAAAATGAATTCATATCATACTAGGCAGGCCGGTATCGACCACCTCCCCCGTCATCCCCTGCAAAAAAAAACGATATGCGCGCGCACTCGCTCATCAACATCCATAAATGTTGAAGAATCCCTTGCCAAAAGCGGGGTGAAGTGCACACGCGCGCGTCGTCGCGCGCGCATCCCAAAAGCCTTCAAAAACCTTCGGGGCATCGTAGAGATTTGGAATCGAGTGTCTAAACATCGTACGAAAAAAGAAGGAACAACAAAACACGGTTTCGCAACACGGAGTTTCAAACCAAACAGAAAAACGTGCGCTCGCGCTCCTGCGCTTTCGTCAGAAAAGGAGGGGTGCACAGGAGGGGGGGGGGGGGGGGCAAAGTGCCCCTGAGAGCGACTTCTGCGAGCCCCAAGAAGTAGACTTTTCAAGGGGGCTTCGAGAGGGTCTCAAGGGAGCTCCAAGAGAGCCCCAAAAGAGATGCGAAGGCTTGCAGAATGGCCCAAAGAGGGCCAAGGAGCTCCCATATCGAAAGATCCGCGACGACATTTACGAACGACTCCTGGGTCTGCTCATGCTGATCCCGAGCTTAGGTGTGACGGCTGCCCTCCCTCCTTGTTCCACTACTCGCTCCTAAATGTCCGTGGTGAAGGCAAGTCACCCAAGCATCGTTTCTAGGTGGGACGCCAGGGATACACAAAGCGTCAAGAGATGCGACCACACTTTGGCATATCGAACTCGAGCCGAGTCCGTGTGATCCGACGGTCCCGCGCACACACACACACACACACACACACACACACACACACACACACGCACGCACGCACACACACACACACACACACACACGCACGCACGCACGCACGCACGCACGCACGCACGCACGCACGCACAAACGCACACACACACAAACGCACACGCACACGCGCACGCACACACACACACACACACACACACACACACACACACACACACACACACACACACGCCCCCTATGCACATACACACACTTGTTCTTCCGACTCGCTGCGGCTGAGTCCGAACCGCGGAGGCAGGGTCACGGGTCACGTTGATCGCGAATTCGCTTCCTTGTGAAGCGGCACGGAGACAAAAGCCGCATCCAGGCCCGCAAAAACCCAAGTAATGCAAACACGCGCTCACATTCCACACACACACACTTCTTGTCCTCCACCGCAGTGTTGCAGCAACAGTCGGTCACACTCGAGCGTGCCACGTCAAAGAAAATTGCAATCGCACATGTGGCGAGTGTCATGCACCAGACTAGTCGAGCCGCGAGAGGAGGGGAAGACGAAACGACAGCGACGATGGACAAGAGAGGGACACAAAGTTCCATATACTGGCATCCGCACAAATGGATCCAACCATCGGACTCGCTCCCGTCAAACTGCGCAGCAACCGCAACAACGCTCCGGCGTCTTCCTGCAACGAAAGACTCCCCCTTCCCCCCCCCTCAACGCTCCGCATCTTCTTCCGCCACATCTCTCCCCTTCGTCGACCCCCTTCTCGATCCCCCTCCTCCTTTTACACCCTCCGCCCCCTCAACCTCCTCATCCTCCCTACCCCTCCTCCCCTCCTCCTCCTCCTCCTCCTCCCCTCCTCCACATCCTCCTCATTCCCTAATCATCCTCCTCCTCCTCCTCCTCCTCCTCCTCCTCCTCATCCCCCCCCTCAACCTTCCCCTCCTCCTCCTCCTCCTCCTCCTCCTCCTCCTCCTGCTCCTGCTCCTGCTCCTTTTTCCCCCTCCTCCTCCTCCTCCTCCTCCTCCTCCTCCTCCTCCTCCTCCTCCTCCTCCTCCTCCTCCTCATCCTCCTCCTCCTCCTCCTCCTTCCCCTCCTCCTCCTCCTCCTCCTCCTTTTCCTCCTCCTCCTCCCTCCTCCTCCTCCCTCCTCCTCCTCGTCCTCCTCCTCCTCGTCCTCCGATCCTCCTCCTCGTCCTCCTCCTCCTCCGAGGGCGACGGCGGCGACCGACGAGCCCGGGGGTGCGCGCGCCGCGCGTGTGCGTGTCGATGGGCGCGAGGCGGCCCGAGTCCGTGGAGATCCACTCGTCGCTCTTGTAGACCGTCGAGTCGTAGTGCACCTTCACCTGCGCAGGGGGCCAAAGACACACAGAGAAATACACACACAAATGGCAGGATCCCCCAAATACTTCCGTACATATTATCTGGGCTGCCGTCTTCCCCCCCCGCTTCCCATAGTTTCCCATATGTTCCTGGGGGTCGACGATTCATTGTGTCTGCGTGCTTCTTTCCCAAGGGCTCCCAACTTCGCGCTGCGCGCTGCGCGGAGCGCAAGGCGCGGATAACTTCGCGCTCTCGCGCCGCCCCCCAGGGGAGAAGAGGAGGAGGAGGAATCCGAGCCGAACCGCGAAGCGCGAAGCGCGAAAAACTTCGCGCCCTGGAGGGCGCCCTTGCTCTCCCTGCTGAACCGGCGCCCGCGGGAGCGCCCACGGCGCGCGCGCGCGCGGGGGGGACCGCCGCCCGCGGCCGGTACGCCGCTGCCGCCGACGTCGGCGCCTCGTCGCCCCGGCAGGGGGGGCCATCACGCGGAAGACGGCAGGGGTGCGACGACGCGACGCGGGGGCCTTGCGATGACGCGTCCCCCTGCAGGACACGGGCTCGTCGGTCGCCGCCGTCGCCCTCGGAGGAGGACGACGAGGAGGAGGACGAGGAGGAGGAGGAGGAAGAGGAGGAGGAGTAGGAGTAGGAGGAGGAGGAGAAGGAGGAGGAGGAGGGGGAGGGGGATGGAGGGAGTGCCGCGAGGACGGGGCTCTTGAAGGCCTCGGGTGTTGCGGGAGGCCGCCGAGCCTGACCGAAGACCCCCTGGGACCTCCTCTCCGCTGCGCAAGAGGCAACGGCGGGAAATTTGGCCTACGTTCGGGCTCTGGGGGCCCTTCGCTTCAACACCTGGCCCCGGGGCCGCGGCAAACGACTCGGGGAGAATGAGGAGGATGATGATGATGAGGAGGAGGAGGAAGAGGAGGAGGAGGAGGAGGAGGAGGGAAGAGGAGGAGGAGGAGGAAGAGGAGGAGGAGGAGAAGGCGGAGGAGGACGAGGAGGTGAGGGGGAGGAGGAGAAGGAGGAGGAGGAGGAGGAGGAGGAGGAGAAGGAGGGAGAGGAGAAGGAGGAGGAGGAGGAGGAGGACGAGGAGGAGGAGGAGCTGGGAGAGAAGAGCCAGACTCTCCGGAGGGGGCCCACGCTATGACAAAAAATCGGGCTTGGTCGTTGACGGGGGGGGCGAGGAACGGGGGGGCAAAGAAGCGCGCACCTTTCGCGCCCCTTTGGGGCCCCATGGGGCTCCTTTAGGGCTCTTGTCCTTCCCCCCCCACCACCCATCGCCCCCACATCAGCCAACACCCAACAAAAACGCAACGTCAGAGGTCTGAAACCTCCGCAAGCCCCTGGGGAACTGAAACAACAACTCCTCCTCCCACACCGAACTCTGAGCAAGGGACATCGCGGGCAGGTTCTGCTGGACCCTTCCCATCCTGCTTCCAGTCTTTCCTTCTCTCTTAGAACTGATCACTGTCGCACCCCAGGACGTGTCAGGAGGGCCAGCTGGGCGTTTCGCTTGAGACTTCCTCACCACTTATGATCCTGACGCTTGGAATTTGCAGCGAATTCACGGACGGAGGGCGAGTCGTGTTCGAAATGTGGCTCTCGCCTTAGCGCCGCGCACATTCGTTTCGAACGTGTAGAAAGGAGGGCGGGTTGTTTTCAAAATGTCGTTTCGCCTGAGCGCCGCGCACATTGGCACGCAACAGATACAAGGGTGGAGGGCGGTTCCTTTTTCACAATATGGCTCTCGCCTTAGCGCCGTGTGCACCCGTCATGAAGATTCACACCAGTTTCAAGGGCTCGCATGGTTGAAGTCGCCGGAGTGGTGCTCTGGCATGACTCAGATTCGTCAGGACGCAACAGTCACGTTGATTCGCGGCGTTGAAGTTCCAGGAATCGTGCTCTGGCTTCTGGCACGATTTAGAACTCTGAACGCAACACACCCCGCAGATTCGCGGCGCTGAAGTTCCAAAAAAGGTGTGTTGGCACGATTGAAGACTCTCATTCCCGCAGAGAAAACATATCCTTATAGGTACGAGGGCTCCCACAAAGGCGTTGAAAATTTGGACAACGACGACGACTACGCACACCTCTCGAGCTGGTGTCTGTGTCAGCGCTGGCAAACTGCTCTAGGACCGAGCCATGAACGAAAACGTGAGGACCACTACCCTCTGTGCACCCTGCGCAGCTTCAATGCTACAGGCATGAAGATGAAGAGACGTGTAGAAGAGAACCCCCGAAAAGAGGTCTGGCGAGCCCAACAACCGGCTCAGGAGGACCGTCGACCGGCCAGATCATCTGGAGCCCAACTCGGGGATACACCATGGGAGGGCGCCCATCCTCGACGGGGGCCGGGGCGAGTCGGAATAGATCGCCCGGTTAGCCCCCTGCGGGTGCATCCCCAACTGTCCCTTCTTCTCGAAACGGCCAGTTTGGGCGGGAGGAGCCCGTGGATCGGAGATGAGACATCATCAGCGAGCCCCTCCACTGCGCATGGGACGTCTCGCTGGATCGCCTCTGGGAGCCCTTGAAGCCTTCTGACCCCTCCGAGAAAATTCTGAAAACCATGAGCATACATGAGAGACCGCAAAAAAACATTACCAAGGGTCCGGATTCTCCTTCTTCCACGGACGTCCACCTGCTTTGTCCAATCCTCACTCCACTCCACGGGGCCCAGTGTTCGTCCCAGATTATTTGGCTGGCGGGCCGAAGAGAAACTCTGGAGGCCGAAACTGAGCGCCAAGTTGAACAGATCACGACATCGGAGGTCTACCCGCAGACCTCCCGTGGAGCGCGTTCTGGCACATCCTGGCTAGAATGCCGAGGAGAATCCAGCCGTGGCGACGAGGGAACCATAGTTGGCCAAACATCCATCCAGCCTCGATCCTCTTACCTGGACCTCCAACTCTTCTGGGATGCAGAAAACAATCCGCCCGGGCGGGCGGAGGAGCGAGGTGGAGGGAGGAGCGAGGAGGGAGAAGGGAGGAGGAGGGACGACGAAGAAGAGGGGGAGGAGCGAGGAGGAGGAATGAGGAGGAAGAGGAGGAGGAGGAGGAGGAGGAGGAGGAGGAGGAGGGGGGGGAGGAGAAGAACGACGAGGCCTTGGATCGAGGGCAAAAACGAGCAGGACCTGGGGAATAGCGGGCCCTGTCGCCAAAGAAAATCGCTGGGGGACAACTGGCCGCCCTGCTCTTGCCGACCGACGCCGAAACGATGCGTCTTTGCGGGAAACGCGCATGCACTGCGCCCCGAGCTGGGGCTGCGACCAAATCTGCTTCTGTCGGGTCTCTCTACCCGCGGCGCTTCCTTCAGACAGTGGGGCACTGAGAGGGTACATCGATATGTCGGCAGTGCGCGCATAGGGATGAGAGAGGAGAAACCCGAACATGTAAAGGCGCCTGAGACGGCGCGGCGGAGTGGTCCCGCTGGATCACGTCCACCACGGTGCCCTGCGTCCACTGGTTCGTCACGCCGCTCTGCGCCTTGCCGGCCGCCGCCCCGCCCCCCTCCTCCATCCCTCCTCCCTCTTCCATCCCTCATCCTCCCCTCTCCTCCCCCTCCTCCTCCTCCTCCTCCTCCTCCTCCTCCTCCTCCTCCTCCTCCTCCTCCTCCTCCTCCTCCTCCTCCTCATCCTCATCTCCCTCCTCCTCCTCTCCCTCCTCCTCCTGCTCCTACCTCCTCCTCTCCTCCTCCTCCTCCTCCTCCTCCTCCTCCTCCTCCTCCTCCCTCCTCCTCCTCCTCCTCCTCCTCCTCCTCCTCCTCCTCCTCCTCCTCCCTCCTCTCCTCCTCCTCCTCCTCCTCCTCCTCCTCCTCCTCCTCCTCCTCTCTCCCTCCTCCTCCTCCTCCTCCTCCTCCTCCTCCTCCTCCCCCTCTCCTCCTCCCTCCTCTCCTCCTCCCCCTCTCCTCCTCCTCCTCCTCCCTCCTCCTCCTCCTCCGCCTCCTCCTCCTCCACCTCCTCCTCCTCCTCCTCCTCCTCCTCCTCCTCCTCCTCCTCCTCCTCCTCCTCCTCCTCCTCCTCCTCCTCCTCCTCCTCCTCCTCCTCCTCCTCCTCCTCCTCCTTTCCTCCCTCATCCTCTTCCTCCTCATCCTGCTCCCTCCTCCTGCTCCCTCCTCCTCCGTCCTTCCGCCCCTCCTCCTCGCTCCCTCCATCTACCTGTTCCATCCTCCTCCCCTCCCCCCGTCCATCATCCCTCCTCCCACCACGTATGGTGCCCCGAAAAAATCGAGGCGGATGGCTTGTCACAATATTTGGCCTCCAGAGGCCCATGTTGGGCGTCGGGAGCAGTGAATAAACGATCCCGGACGAAACACTGACCTTAGGGAAGCGTTCGAGAGGTCCGTAAGCCTTTCCTCCTCATCTTCCTCCGTCCCGCTGCTCCGTCCTCCTACTCCGTCCTCCTCCTCATCCCCCTCCTGTTACTCCTCCCCGAGCCCTCTACCCTCATCTCTCCTCCCTCCCTCGATGCCTCCAACCCTCATCCCTCCTTCCGCCCTCCCGACCTCTTCCTCCCTCATCCTCCATCCTCCCCCCCCCCGCCTCCGTCCTCCCCTCCTCCCTCCGACTCACCGCTCCCCCCCTCCTCTCGGCGGCGGCCGCTGGACTCCGTCGAGGACCCCGTCGCGCGAACAAGGCTTCGCTGCGCTGCTTCCCCGCGCCGCCTGGTGGGCGCCCCGTACGCTGCGTGGATCCGCCGACGTTGCGCCGCGTGGCCGCCCGCGCCGCGTCGCGGTCGCCTCGCGGGCGGCCCGGCGCCGAGTGGGCTCGCCGAGACTGCGCCGCGTCGCCGCCCAGGCCGACTCGCAGGCGCCCCGTGGGCGCCTCGCGCGCTGGGCGGGCGCGCGGCACACGACGAGCCGCGTGGCCGCCAGCGCCGCGGCGCGGTCGCCTCGCGGGCGACCAGCGCGATGGCTTGGCTCCCAGAAGTTGCGCCGCGCTGAGGCCCAGCGCCGCCTCGCGGGCGCCCCGTGCGCTGAGCATGCGCGACGCGGCTTCCAGCGCATCGCCTGCAGCACAAAACTGGCACCACATAGCTGACACCCGCAGAGCTCACACAACAGTACTGACACCATATGGCGCACACTCTATAGAATGCGGCCCCAGCTCGCACCGTATAGTTGCTACAACAAAGATCACACCGCATAGCTTCCCGCCATCGCTCACGCAACGTAGCTTGCACGAAGTACCTTTTACCGCGTAGCTTATTCCGCGCAGCGCGCAATTCCAACGCAATCATACGCCGCGCGGGATCTCAAGGGGACTTGCACGCGTTGCATCTCGCGTGCAGATCCACGGGCTGCGTCAACAAGACGACCCAGCCAGGCCAGGAGCGCCGCTTGGCCAGGCCAGAACATGGGACCCGGCCCCGAAAGCAGCTGACGTGGGGAACCTGGGACGTGGACGGAGGGCCCCCCCCGCGCGGCGGGCGGAGACCCACCCGGGCGCCCCCGGGGACGTCGAGGGGTGGTGGTGGGACGCAGGCATGGCGAAGGGTTCGCGAGCTCTCGTCGTCTTGCCGCGCACCCCGCCTAGGCCTCCTGTTCTGTAAGAGGAAAGCCAAGAGAGGCGGCGGGGGCGGGGACGTCGAGGGGAGGGGGGAGGGAGAAAGGAGGGGGGGGGCGCCCGAGCGCGCCCTGCCAGGCAAAGAACGACGCAACGCCCGCGACAGAAGTCCTATGGTCAGCACAAGCCACGGCCGCCGCCGCCTGCCCGGTGCGCAACCCCGGCGCGGGGGCACGGCGCCCGCGCCACCCCGCGGGAGCTCTTCCCCGCGGGCCCCCCCCCCCCGCGCGCGCGGAACGGGCCGGCGCGGCGGCCTCCCGACGGCAACGCTGCAGCGGCAGGAGGAGCTGCTCGCCGCAGAGCCGCGGGGCGCAGCCGCGCGGCGCGCCCCCCGGCGACCCGCCTCCAGGCCCCCGAGGCGCTCGGCTTGCACGCCGGCGCACACCTCTCTGCGACGCGCCCGCTCTCGAAGCTTCGGCCACGGTCGCCGCTGTGCTTCTCTGAAGGGGCCCAAGGACACACAAATGAATACACACAAATATCAGGATTCCCCACATGTTCTCATACTCTCCTGGTTTTCGTTTTCCCCCCCACTCCCCATATTTTCCCATATATTCTCCTGGGAGTTGACGAGTAATTGTGTCTGTGTGCTTTTTCTTCCCCTCCATATTCTTTCCGGGCAACGGACGCGAACCTCGGAGCACGGCCCGCGGCTCCGCGCGAGCCAAAGCGGCGGCATCCGCCCGATCGCTTGCTGCCGAGGCACGCGGCGCTTGGCGGGGCGAGAGGCCTGCGCGGCCTCTGCGGGCGGCATCAGGGCTGCGCTGGCTGCGAGTTGGCCCGCGAGACTCTCGCTGCCCCGACGAAGGCAACCCCGCAGGGAGCATCCGGCGCCACGAACGCTTCTAACGCATCTCCTCGGCCACGAGGGCTCTGGAACGCGCGGCCGCTCGCGCCCCGGACGTCGCGCAAACGGAAACGGCCTGGCTGGACAGAGCCACGACGCCCCTGCTCTGGAACGACGCCGACGAAGCACCCATGCTGCGGGAGACCAGCGAGGGTTGGCCAAGACTGCCCTGCCCCCAGGGCCGCCCGCCCTCGCTGTCGTCGACGCCCTGGGCGATATCCACGCTGCGCTGCAGAGACTCCTTGCCCGCCCGCACGGGATCCAACTATCTGGACGACGCGAACGGTTCTCAGCCCGCCCCCGAGCACGCGGCCGCGGCAGCCCAGAGATCGTCGTCGAGACGCCCGCCCCGGCGACGAGGGCTGTAGGTCTACGGGGAGAAGACGCCGGCTCGGACCAACAACGCGCCAGCTCGGGCCTCCCTGCGGCGCGCGCCAATCTGACTACCTACCAGACCACCCCAACCCAACCAGAAGACCCGAATTTCGGGATGGGGGGGGTAAAGGGTTCCACGTGTGTTTTTTTCTCGATGTTTCCCGACCCCCCCCCACTGGAAATCGAGGGTAAATCTGAGCCTTCAGGTTGGGTTGGGGTGGTTCGGTGGGTGGTGACAATCGCCGAGTGCCGCGCCTGAAGTGTCTCGGCAGCACAGCGCCGTCGTCGGCACAGGCGGGCGAGCGAGTCCGGTGCGCGCGCCGGCACCGACGGCGCCGCCGCGGTGGACGCACAAAGCCGTCGCCTCCGCGGGGCAGCTCCGGGTGCTGCGCGCGGTGGGGCCCGCGGAAGAAGCATGCGCCACGCTCCCTCGGACAGAGGGCCAGGTCGCAGCGACGCACCATCTGCGAGGCAACCGCGACCAAGTCGACAAGTGTAGGGGGCCCAGAAATATACACCACCACCACCACCTCCCTCCCCCCATCCCTCTCGCTGAAAAGAGGAGAGAGGAGGAATCGACGTGGTGGTGGTGTATAATCTTTGGGCCCCCAAAATCTGGTCTTTGGCTGCTTGCAGGAGCCTCGCGGGACCTCGCCGGACCCCGGACAGCGAGCCCAGGCCACCAGGCGCCTTCCTGGGCCGCCGCCTCAGCAGCGTGCGCGCTGGGCCGGGCCCTGGTCCTGAATGATTCGAAGTCTCGCAGGCCACTGGCTTCCAGAGCTGGAAGGGCTTCCGAACCTAGTGCCCCCCTGACGCGCTAGGCCCTTGTAGAATCTGAGGCCAATTTCCGGAAGGGGGCGACGAGCGGCGAATCCGATTGGCTGGGCTGCTTCCAGAAAGCCGCCCCGAAACTGCAAGGCAGGTGGGGGAGGCGCCCTCGGAGAGGACGACGGTCTGGCTTTTTGGGGTGCGGGCGGAACGGGGTGCCCGCGTCTTCGTTCTGCCTTGCGAGGTAGACGGCCCGACCATGCCCGAAGAGCACGTCCCCACCGCCATGAAAACACGCCTCTGGTGCTGCGTCTGCGCTCCGAGCGCTGCGTGCCAGCACTGCCGCGACGACGGTACTGTCTGCGGCGCGCCACTGGACGATCACGGGTGGCACGCGAGGTGCTGCACCGCCCGCTTTGACCGCATGCGGGATTGCCACGCGCAGCTGCACACCAACCTCACTTGCTTCGCCGCGGTCAATGAGCAGCTCGTTCCAGCGTGGGATCGCGTCACTCAGCGCACAAGCGTGCTGGAGGCTGCTCAGCTGGACGTCGTCTCCACGGGTCTGGCCACGGGCCGGCCCATTTATTTTGGCTCGAGCACTACCTGCCAAGACTCAGAGCACGCCCCTTGCAGACAGACGGCGTGGCCGCAGCAGCCATGGCCCGAGATCTGGTAACCCCCCCAGCGGGGGTGACCTTGCCCCCTTGGTCTTGAAGACATTGGACCGATCGTCCAACGAAGCCGCGTTCATACGAGCGTACGGGCACAACGTCGACGAAGTGGCCCGGGGCGAGATCCGTTGCAGGGTGTGGCGGAAGCTATCCCGACAGCTCCAACGTGGCAGCGAAAATCTGCCAGTGAGGACCTTTACCGCGTCAGCGGCTCCCAACACTACCACTACCACCACCACCGCGACATCATCCAGCACGACCGCCACGACCACGACAGCGACGGGCAGCGGCAAGACGGCTCGCCTCCACGACGACCACGACCACGGCCACGACCCCCGACAACGCGACTACCGAACCCCGTCTCCCCCCCTCCCACTCATTGCCCCTTTTCTGTCATCCCCTGTTTTTGTTTCGCCCCTCCTCCTCCCCCTCCCCCTCCTCCTCCTCCTCCTCCTCCTCCTCCTCCTCCTCCTCCTCCTCCTCCTCCTCCTCCGCCTGGTCCTGGTCCTGGTCCTCTTCCTCCCCCTCCTCCTCCTCCTCCTCCTCCTCCTCCTCCTCCTCCTCCTCCTCCTCCTCCTCCTCCTTCTCCCACACGTCCCAAGGCCCCTCTCGAGGAGGGGACCGATTCGGACGCTTCCGATTTTGTCTGATCTTGGATCTATGGCTTCAGGCCCGTCCCCAACAACCTCCTCCTTTTCCTCCTCCTCCTCGTCCTCCTCCTCCTCCTCCTCCTCCTCCTTCTCTCCTCCTCTTCTCCTCTCCTCCTCCTCCTAGTCCTCCTCCTTCTCCCCCTCCTCCTCCTTCCCCTACTCCTCCGCCTCCTCTTGGTAAGTCATTCAGCGATGTCCTGAACACTATACGTTAATTCGACGAAAGCCCAGCCAAGCCAGGAGTGCCACCAGGACGGACCGCAAAGAGGCCATGTCCAGGCGGTAGCCAGCGCGGGACTCGGGACCAGAACCCCAATGCCAGGGGGTCGCCATGTGTGACTGGAGTGGGGGACTCACTCGGGTGCCCCCAGGCCGTTTGCGAGTAAGAGAAGGAAGGGAGGGAGGAGTAAACGTGAGTGAGGCGGGAGAAGGAGAGGACGGACAAGGAGAAGGAGGGATGAGTTGTATAATGGACCATCCACAAGCGAGGGGAGGGAGGATGGGAGGAGGGGGGAGAAAGAGAGGCAGGGAGAACATTGGAGAACATGGATATCTGAATGTAACTCTGAATCAGTTGGCCTCTCCACGACAGGGGGTATAGGGGGAACAGTAGGATGGGATGGCATCGACAAGAAGCAACGCGTCACGACAAAGGGAGGAGAAGGAGGTGAAAAAGGAGGAGGGCAGGAAGAGGAGAAGGGAGAAGGGACGAGGTAGAGACAGAGAAAGAGGATGATCTGTTCAAGGCGCGTTCTGGCAAAAGCATTTCGTAGGGAATCCTGCAGGGAACTTCCCAGGAGGCCGATGAAAACGAAACAAATATCAAACTTCAGAACACGGTATTATCGACCCTCCTCGGACATGATCGAGCCGTCTTTGAAAATGACGGCGACCAACACCTGCTCAAAATCGGCCACGGACTCCTCCACGGGTCCATCATGACTAGACGGTCGAGCTGTGTGCAGCCGTGGCAGCGAGAACCTCCAGAAACGTCTGAAGACATCCGAGACAAAATCATCGTGGTCGTCGTAATCGTCGTCCTCGTCGTCCTCGTCGATCGTCAAGCGGCAACGGAGCTTTGCGGGCGCGCGGTCGAACGACGAGGACAAACTGACAACCTCGACCGTCGACCGACGAGGACGGCGACGACGACGACGACGACGACGACGACGCATGAGGCCTCGCGCACCGCAACGACACCGAGGCCAATCCGAACCACCGACACGACAATCGACCAAGGCGACCACGAAGACCAGCGACGACGACCCCGACACCAAAGATGACCACGATCAACCACGATGGCGGCCACGACGACCGCCGACGACGACCACCAAATGGCCACGTCGACAAACGCGACGACCAACTTGCGAACATGTGATCTGGCAAACTGCTCTTACCATCATGTGCTTCTCCCTATCCCGTGCACCCACCCGCCAAGTCTATGGCCCACCCTTCCTCTTGAAAAGGCCTCGTTTCAGACCAGCTGCCGGGAGAAGTAATCAAGACCGCACTCTGCGTGCGCACAGCGCCACCCTGGCCGTCGTGCGAGCCAACGCGCCCGCGGGCAGCTCACAAACCTGAGTGAATCGTGAGGAAGCCTCGGGGGAGAGCGCCGTTCCGGAGTTTGGGGCCTCCCGAGGCGTCTCAGAAGGAAACTGGGAGGACGTATCGAGCGAACGCCGTTGTCGCCGCAGCTGGGCGTTCACCACTTTGAACGATGTACGAAGAAGTTTCGAGCGAGGGCGCCATTCCTAAGTTTGAGAATGCAGAGGACCAAGGCGCACGTGAGTAAATTACTAGGACGCGTCGGGCGGCATCCGTTGTCTCCGTCGGTGGGCCTTGAACGATTTTACCGAACTGTGAATAATTATCTGGCGAGAGCGCCATCCCTGAATTAGGGGGCCGCTCTGGCAAGGGCGTCTTGGAGTAAGTTGTGGGAATGTACAAGGCGGGACTCGTTGTCGTTGTAGTTGGGTCGTCACCTTCTGGAGTGAATTACGAGGCCTAGGAAGCCTCGAGCTAGATGGCCCTCCCTCATTTAGGGGACAACTCCGGCCAGCGCCTGCTGGGGTGAAGTGTACGAGGTATCGAGCGGGAAATGTTGTCGTGGTAGATGGGCATTCACCTTCTTGAGAGAATGTCACAAGCGAGAGCGCCGTCCCTAAATCGGAGTGAAGCGTGGGAAAGTATACAGCCAGAGCCGTTGTCGTCGCAGTTGTGCCTTCAAAGGCTCAGATGTGGAACCAAGCCTGCCCTCGAGCAAGCAGCCTCGGCTTCAAAGAACAGTCAAGGCCTACGTCGAGGCGAGAGCGCCCTGAAGCATCCACCAGCCATAAGTATACTCTAGACATTGGCGTCCCCCCCGAGGACGACAACCCAAGACCACCACGAGGACGACAACGATCGACCCCCGACGACCACAACTACAACAACGACGACGACCACGACCGCTCGGCTACACGCAAGAGTGACCCTAGGCAAGAGTGACCTTTGGTGCGCGGCTAAACGGGGGACGCGGGGTGGCCAAACCTGGGCGCGCAAGCAGCCGCTACCACTTCGCGTTCAGCGATCGGGCCCGTTGGGCCCGCACCACAGGCCACTCCAGCGAAAGGTCACTCCTACGTCTAGTCGAGACCACGACAACCGCCGCCGATGGCGACGACCAGCGACGACGGCGACAACGGCTGGCGACCGACGACGACCCAACGGGGCCTCGACGCGGTCGCCCACCTCGAAGTGCGTCTGCAGCTCCTGGTCCGGGCCCTGCGCGTTAACCGCCTCGGCCCGCGCGACGGCCGCTGCCGCTGCCGCGGCCCTCGCCGCCGCCGCGGCAACCGCCGCTGTGGTGACCTGGGGAGCGGAGGCAGAGCGAACCGAACACTTCCTACGTCGCGGTGCGGCAGAGCCCGCAAGACGAAGCCAGGACGAGGACAGCTTCGGGTGACGCTGCATTGAGCACCTCCGAGATCCGGCGGCCCCAAAGGACTAAAACAGGGCTAGGATCGGGATAAATCGCTCCAGAGCGTTCCGGAGCGCTCTCAGAGCGTTCCGGAACGCTCTGGAGCGGCCGCGGCGCCCGATACATCCTCCAACCCGCCGACTCTCAGAGACTTCGAGTTGTCCCGATCCGATTTTGTCCCGATCTTCGCGTCGTTTTAGCCCTGGAGCGTTCTCCTCGTCCGAGCCTCCGTCCGAGCCGGTCCGCACGCGCGCTCGGGCGGGCCGGGAGGCGGCAGGCGCTCTCACTGCCCGGCGGCACGCGGCGGGTCCGGGGCGCGAGCGCCTCCGCCGAAGGCCAGGGCCCCTTCTGGAGGTGCCCAGAGCGAAGAGCGCCCCGAGGAGGGACGCCCAGGAGAGACACAGCGTGCCCAGCTGTGTCCTTGAGCGTTCCGCTCGGGCTCGAGAAGGGTCCCGTGCCCTCGGGGCGGGCTCGAGCACGAGGCCTTGAGCAGAGCCCTGGGCATGAAGGGACCCGTGCCGCGAGAACGAAGGCGTTCCAAATCCGGGGTTCTTCTTAAGCCTCGTGCGAGCTGTATCCTTGAGGAAGTACAACGAGGCTTCTCGACGCCTGATTCATAGACATTTTCTCCGTACCCATCCCGAGTCGTGAGGGTCGTCGTGCTGGTCGTCGGCGTCGAGGGTGGAGGTCTTGCACGTCGCCGCCGCCGCCGCCGCCGCCATCGCCTGCCGCCGTGGCCGTGGCCGTGGCCGTCGCCGCCGTCGTCGTCGCCGCGGGCGCCGCGGCCGTGGTGGCCGTGGCCGTGGTCGTCGTCGTGGCGGTGGTCGTCGCCATCGTCGGTGGTCGTCGTCATTGTCGTGGTCGTGGATGTCGTCGTGGTCGTCACTGGTCGATCGCGATCGTCGTGGTGGTCGTCGGTGGTCGTCGTCATGTTCGTGGTCATGGATGTCGTCGTGGTCGTCACTGGTCGATCGCAATCGTCGTGGTGGTCGTCGGTGGTCATCGTCGCCGTAAGTGGTGACCGCGGTCGTGGTCGTCGTGTTGAGGTGGTGGTGGTGGTCGGCGTCGTCGGAGGGGTCGAAGGTCGAGGTCGTGCACGTCTTCCGTTCCTTCCCGGCCTCCTGGGGGCATGCGAAGGGGCATCCAGTGAGGGAACACCGAATTGCACACACGCAAACTGTCTGCCAGCGTGGACTCAGACCCAAGAACACTGCGCCCTCTAGGGGTAAGCGCGTGGTGCAGGCTGCTGGTGCGCTAACGCAGAAGGCGAAGCAAGCCCGCGAGAGCAGCTGGCAGCACGGCAGCCAGCGCGGAGGGCCAGGAGCATCGGCGCGGGCGACGCGGGGGGGGGGGGGGGGCAGAGGGCGGGGGCGGCTGGCGACACTCCGAGGTGAAGCAGAGTCCACCGCCACCCAGAACCCACCACGGGTGAGCTGGCCCCTGAGCTTTGGAGTCCCGAAACGGTGCGGTGACAGACCGTGCGGTGACTTCGAAGTCCCCCAAGACCTCACCGCACGGTCCGTCACCGCACGGTCCTGGGACCCTGGAGGCCCCTGTCGCCCGAGACACCCTTGGAGAACGACTCGAGTCCCAAAACCGTGCGGTGAGCCCGAATCCCCACCGACTCACCGCACGGTGTGGTCACCAGCCCGTTTGGGGGCCCCCGATGAGCGGTGGCACGCCAGAGCGTCGCCCGCCACCAGACGACGCCCGGGCGCGCCACCGCCCAGGCATGGGCACCCCCCGAGGACGGCCTCTCGGCGGCGGTGCTCTCTGCTTCCCTCCCACACGGGAATCCGCTGCAGGCGCCCGCAGCCGACTCGCCGAGGCGAGACCAGCTCCAGCGCAACTAGTTCTCCCGGCGCCTCCCGGCGCCCCGGGCGCCCCAGCGCCAAGCGGCGGGACCAGGCAATCCCCGGGTCTGAACGCCCAGCCATGGCCGAGCAGGGTAGAAAGAGGCCTGGGGACGCACAAACAAATAGATACGAATCCCACGATTCCCCATATTTCCAAATTTTCTGGATGTTCGTCATCCCCTTCGCTTCTCAGATTTTCTCATATATTCTCCTGTGAATCGACGATTATGGTGATATTTTCCCCTCCTGAAAGCTCCAGTCAATCGTCACGCCTACATCGGCAGGTAATTTTCATTTTCGAATGCGCACGATGTTCGTGCGCGGCTGATTTGCGCGATCAATATGTCACCGCACATTGCGCTTTCAAGTTTCTCAGCGCGCCTACGGGACGACCCGGGCGTTCGTCGCGCCTGTTGTTCGCGCGCGACTGCCAGCACTGGCCCAGGCAGGATGTTGTTTCGCTTCGTTTCTCATCCACCTGATACTATTCACCCGAATGACTTGAACTTTTGCCTAGGGGCATGCCTCGCGGTTTAAAGGTCGAGATTTCCCCCAAAAAAGACTCCCGGGAACCCGGAAAATTAGAAAAACCTTGCGTCAGGATTCCCAGCAGCATGAGAAACCCCGATTCGGAAGCATGAGACATACAGATGTTTGAGCCTCCAGCGGCCGCTCGGGACGATTTCAGCCTCCCCGGAACGCTCTCGGCGAGGCGTAGCTGCTGGAAAGCATTCCGAGGCTGGACAACCACCTTGCCCCCAGAACGCTCTCGGCGAGGCGCAGATGGTGGAAAGCATCCCGAGGCTCGAAAACAGCCTTCACCGACGAAAACGTCCGAAAACCGTCCGTAGTCATCTTGGACCGGAAATCAAACAACACCATCCCACCTGCGGCCCGGGGCTCAGCATATACCATGAACACTGGCCTGGGCTTTTCCGTGATATACGCTAAGACCCCCGATGGGCCGTAGCGTAACATGGAGGGCCGTAGCTGGGGTGGTGTCGTACGCAGAAGGCATCTATACACCACCACCGTGCCAGGCCGGAGCCATCCTGGCCCTGGCATGGTCCATACGCCCTCCTGGCCGAGGCCAGGAGGGTCTATACACCATCCTGTGGCCCAGGATAGCCTTGGCCTGGCACGGTGGTGGTATATAGATGCCTGCTTTAGGGAACCGAAAAACAACATGACCATACAAACTCGGACGTCCGCGAGGATTTATTGGATCCGCGCTGGGCCTCCCTCCCTGGCGCGCGGAGCGCGCCAGGGGCGGCGCCGAAGGCGACGCCAGCGGGCCCCAGAGCCCGTCTAGGAAATCCGCGCGGACCTCCGAGTTTCTTATGTTTATGCCATGGTTCGTTCCCCTATTCTTCGGATGTCGTTCGCTTCTTGGTCGGCATCTTCCCGAGCCGTCGTCGACGGCAATGACCACCACGCCGGCGACCGTGACCGGGGAGCGTCCAAGAGGGGGGCGTCCAAGAGGGGGGGCGCAAATCATGGCCCGAGGCACGTGCGCGGTCCAGGGGGGCGCCAGGGGCGCAAGGAGGTAAGAAGGGGCGCCATAAGATCTGGGGAGACATCCTGGCACCCGCCATGATATCCACCCCCCCCTAGTCATCACTCAAGGGGCCCTGGGACACACAAACACACACACACACAAATAACAGAATTCCCGATATTCTCCCATATGTTCTGGATGACCTTCCCCCCCACTTCCCATTCTTTCCCATACTTTCTGGGGAACCGACGACTATTTGTGACTGTGTGTGTGTTTTCCTCCCTGGTCATCACCCCCCTCCTGGCCGCCCCCGAAGGGCCGCGACGCCGCGGGCGCGCCCCCGGCCTCGGGCGGCTCGTCGCGGGGCCACCTGCCCGCCACCGTCTGCGACTCCAGCAGGAAGGCCCCTGCGTCCCACACCTCGCGGCGGCAGGTGGGGGGCCCGACCACAGGGAGCCCTCCCAAGGTCTCCTCCTCCTCCCCCCTCTCCCTCCCTCCTCCTTCCTCCTCCCCCTCCTCCTCCCCTCCCCCCTCCTCCTCCCCTCCCCCTCCTCCCCTCCCCTCCCCCTCCTCCTCTCCTCTTCTCCTCCTCCTTTTCCTCCTCCTCCTCCTCCTCCTCCTCCTCCTCGCCCTCCTCCTCCCCTCTCCTCCCCTCCTCCTCTTCCTCCCCCTCCTCCTCCCCCCCCCTCCTCCTCCTCCTCCTCCCCCCCCTCCTCCTCCCCCCTCCTGCTCCTCTCCTCCTCCTCCTCTCCTCCTCCTCCTCCTCCTCCTCCTCCTCCTCCTCCTCTCTCCTCCTCCTCCTCCTCCTCCTCCTCCCCCTCCTGCTCCTCCTCCTCCTCCTCCTCCTCCTCCTCGCTAAAAGCGCGTCCATGGACTCTTGCCGTGGGGGCGGACGGCACGCTCTCCAGAGCAGGGCCATCGAGACCCAGGACAAACCCAGGGCGCCCCGGAGGCAAGCAGAGGGTGCATCTTGGCGCCGGGCCTCCACGGCACACGCGCAAGAGCGGCCCTGGGCAGGAGAGTGCCCTCTGGCGCGCGGACTGAGGGGAGCGCAGGTAGAGGCCTCCTAAAATTTCAGTCGGGCCTGTCCCCCCACAGGGGGATCTTGGACGAAAAATGAGAAATACCCCCAAAATTCTCAAAATGTGCCCAAAAATAGTCCAAAAGTAGTCCCCAGACTATTTTTTCGCTATCTTTGAAGATTCCCCCTTTACAGGGACAGGCCCGACTTAATCCTAGATCCTAGATCCTACATGGGGTCGAAGGATCGCGCTGCGTCGCTGACGCATCGGCGATGCATCGGCGATGCAGTGATGATGCACAGGCGATGTCGGCAGTGCATTGGCGCTGTCGGCGTGGCGAAGGTCGGGCTCCGCATCGAGCTGCATCGCCGATGCATCGGCGAGGCGGCGCGATCCTCCGGCCCCATCCAGTCGGACCCCATCTGGGAGGCCTAGAGCCACACACAAGAGTGACCCTAGGCACGAATGGACCTTTGGTAAGAGGACTAAGGGGGCGCAAGGTGGCCAAATCCAAACGCGCAAGCAGCCGCGATCGCATCGCGCTGAGCGATCGGGGGGAACCCGATGAGCCCGCAACAAAGGTCACTCCGGCAGAGGGTGACTCTTACGTCTAGTCGAACCTCTGGCGGAAGCCGGGCAGACACGGCCCCCCCCAGGGACGTCGGCCGGTCTGGAGGACGTACCTCCAAGAAGAAGCAGACTGCACAGACAATAAACTCTCCGGGGGTCTGCGACTCCAGCGGGACGGGAGGGGGAAGGAGCATCGATGACACGCCGCCGTGCAGCGTGATGCCGTTGAGGGCACACCAATCGGGGGCGCGCAAACATGGATTAGCGATCCATAGATCTGGCGCGCGGTCGCCAAATCCATGGATTGGGGGAGGTGCCTCTCCCAAAATGCTGCCGGTGCCGCCTCGCTCGGCGGCGGTAATCCGCGAGTTCCCATGGAAACTGGACCCGTCGCCAATCTACGCCCCCTTGACCCATGTTTGCGATCGCCTGAACCAAGCATTCGGACAAGCACGAGGGATTCGAGGGAGTACGAAGGGGCCCTGGGACACACAAATAAATAAACACAACTAGCAGGATTCCCCATACTTTCCCATATGTTCTGGGTTTTCGTCTTCCCCCCCACGTCCCACATTTTCCAATATTTTCTGGGAAGTCGACTATGAATGGTGTCTGTGTTTGTGTTTCCCCTCCTGAGAGTAACGCACCAACGGCAGCGCGCCATCGATACCTCTTGTTCCCCCCCCCGATCTGCCAGGAAGCGAGCAGACCCAGGCCCCACCCAGACTCCTTGGGTGTCTTGGGAGGAGGAGGAGGAGGAGGTGGAAGAGGAGGAGGAGGAGGAGGAGGAGGAGGAGGAAGGAGGAAGGAGGAGGAGGAGGAGGAGGGAGGAGGAGGAAAGAGGAGGAGGAGAAGGAGGATGAGGAGGAGGAGAGGGACGAGGAGGCAACTACTGTGAAACTTGCCTTTAGAAACGACCAGCTGCGTCCAGCGACAACCCCAGGAAGAAGCTTCCGGAGACGACGCGTGAGGCTAGCCACGAGGAGCTCCCAACTGATTGACCGAACCGCGCCACTGCCACCATCAGTCAAAGCGGCCCGACGACACCACGCTGCGGTGGGCTCTGAAGCCATACAGTCGGGGCGTTGACCTAAGGAACCCGAAAATAAGGAACGAGGCCCCTTTTTTCCATAAGTTCAACTTCGATTTCCGATCGAAATCATAAGGAAAACCTGAGGCAAGCTGCGAAACACTTGAGGAACGCGGAGCCCCTCCCCAACGAAAAGGGTTCCTTCTTCAGGGCCCCGACTGCAGGAAACCGGGGTGCTGACCAGTCAAGGAAGGGAAGCAACCCCCAGGGCAGCCAAGGGCCGCGACGGCTCCACTACACGGCGCCCCAGGAAGCCTCCAAGAGAGCACACAGGACGGGGGTCAGGGATCACGAAAAAAAGGCCATAAAAGTGTCAAAAACGTGGCTTAAAACAACGAAGCTTTAAAGAAATAGGGCGGGTGGCAAGGGGGGGTGACCCAACTGGGGGTGAAGAGAAAGGCTGTGAAGGAGGGCCCCTTTTTGGTTTTGGAGCTAGTTGGCTCCGAAAAGGGGCCCTGAAGGGACCCTTAGGGTCATTTTTCTTCACCCCCAATTCTGGTCACCCCCTTTACCACCCGCCCGAATTGTCCAGTCAGAACAATTTCCATCGGGGCTCAAGAGAGTCGATGCAAACGGGGGTCAGCCAGAGCGTCGGATCCTGCAGGATCCTGCAGGGCAAGCGGTGCACTGACCTGGACTGAGGTGCAGGATCTTGCAGGATCCTGGAAGATCCTGCAAGGCCTGACTGACGCGGGTTTGCATTGACCCGGGTCAATATCGGAAGCGCGCAAACATGGATTAGCGATCCATGGATCTGGCGCGCGGTCGCCAAATCCAGGGATCGGGGGAGGTGCCCTCCCAAGAATACGGCCGGTGCCGCCTCGCTCGGCGGCGGTAATCCTCGATTTCCCCTGGAAACGGGACCCGTCGCTAATCCACGCCCCCTTGATCCATGTTTGCGATCGCCTGACAATACGTCCCAGATTCCAGTTGACAAAAATTCTTTCCGCCCCCGCGGCCGGGGCGCGATCCCTGCGACGGACGTGCAAAATTCGGTACCTCCGGACGCTGGCTCGCCCAGCCACCAGGGAGCCACCGGCCAGCCCAGACGACCAGCCAATACCAGCCAGCCCTGGGCGCACGGTTTGAGGATGTCCCCCACACTCGCTGGGCCCCGAAGGAATTTTCTTGACCTGGAGTGACCGCGGGGCGGGGGGAGAAGAGGAGTGTGACCGAGAGAGAGGGAGAGAGAGGGAGCGAAAATAGCAGTGCAAGCCGCACATGAGAACGGAACCAACAAAGTCGGGGAGACGTAAGACTCGGGTACGGGGGACTCGGATTGGCCTGACGTGGCCATCATGAAAATGACGAGGCCCAATCTGAAATTTGACGCGAGCTCCCGCTGCAAACATCCCACGAAAACTGGAACGTCAAAATCCAGGGCACGCTCGTCAAAAAACGTCGGCAAACCCGAGTTCCGGCTTACTCGAGTCTTACGCTTCCCCGACAAAGGAGTGTGACGGAAGGGAACGACATGGGCGTAACGGAGTGGAAGGGAGGAGTGGATGGAGTGGAATGCCCGTGGAATGGGATGGAATGGATGGGAGGCGCGCGCGGAGGAACGGGCGGGCGGGCGGGCGGGCGGGCGTGTGGGCGTGCAGACGTGCGGGCGGGCGCCCGGGTGTCACTGGCCACCGCCTGAGAGTCCACAAGACAGCAGGATGGCGTAGACCAGCCGCAGCGCGCCCAAGAAACCTCCCCCTCCTTCTCTCCTCCTCCTCCTCCTCCTCCTCCTCCTCCTCCTCCTCCTCCTCCTCCTCCTCCTTCCTCTCCTCCTCCTCCTCCTCCTCCTCCTCCTCCTCCTCCTCCTCCTCCTGGACTCCTCCTACTCCTCCTCCTCCTCCTCCTCGTCCTCCTCCTCCTCCCCCTCCTCCTCCCCCTCCTCCTCCCCAATCCTTCCGCTCCCCCGCCTGCTCGGTAGCACCCCTGCTGCCCTTCCCCATCGTCCCATGGCGGACAGGGGGGCGGCAGGGAGAGAGCGAGAGAGCCCGCGATCGGTGAAGGGCGCCTTGCCGTCCAAGAACTCCTCCAGGGTGGAATCCATCTGCCTCTTCCCGGGCGGTTCCCGAACGACCCTCCCTCGACCACACAGTCTGATGGGCATGTTTTCCACCACCACCACCATAAGTTGGAGTGGGGAAGGAGGAGGACGACGAGAAGGAGGAGGACGAGGAGGACGAGGAGGAGGAGGAGGAGGACGAGGAGGAGGAGGAGGAGGAGGAGGACCCCCTCCCCCTCCAACTTATGGTGGTGGTGGTGGAAAACAGGCCCATCACCCCGAACGACCCTCCCTCGACCACACACTCGTTCTCTCGCAGCACGGCAGCAGCAACCCGCACGGGCGCTCGCATAGGCCCCCCCCCCGGCTTCACGCGCGACCCGGAGCAGCAGCGACGCCTGGTGCGCAGCTTGCCGCCTGCTGCACGCGGTGCGGCAGCAGCGGCCCGCGAGGCAACTACTCTTAAATCGGGCGTTTCCCCCTACAGGGGGATTTTCGACGAGTAATCAAAAATAGTCATACAGGGGGATTTTCGACGAATCATATAAAAAATAGTCCAAACAAGTCCCTAGAAAAATTCGGGCGCGCGCTGATTTTTTTCCCTCGATCATAACAGGCAGCCGCGCGCAGACCCCCCCCCCCTGCAGGTCAGCGCTCCGAAGCGCCGGCTGGGGGTCAGAACCTGGAGGGCGCCCGCGGCCATGCGAACGCCAGCGAGGGGCGTTCGGCCCCAGCGCGGACCGGACCAACAGGGGTGGGGTCCGCAGCTGGCCGCAGACATTCTCAGATCCGCCCAACATCACGCCACTCCCCTCCCTCCCTGGCTCCTCCTCCTCCTCCTCCACTAGTGGGGCAGCCAAGGCCACAACGACCCCAGGGCGGCGCAGGCCGTGCCGGAAGCGCCGTGCGGCGCACCGCCCTGGGGGCCAGGGGCCCCGCGCGACAGCAGTCGGGCCCCCGCCTCCTGCCCTCGGAGCTGGCGATGGGTGCCGGTGGCCCTCCGGGCACGGCGGCAGAAACGACGACATTCTCGTCCTTCTTCCCCCCTTTTCCTCCTCAATCCTCCCTCCTCCCTCTTGCATCCTCCCTCCAGTTCCTCCTCGATCTATTTCTGCTCCCAGATCCTCAGGGAGCTGACGGAGGGAAGGAAAAGAAGGAAGGGGGTGGAAGGAGGCGGCGGGTGAGAGAGGAGGAGGAACATCACCGCGAGGGTACGCGTTGGAAGCAAACTCGAACGGCGGCACCCAGTCAGCGAGCCGCGCTGGCTACGAGTGCCCCTGCGGACACACGGATGCAGAGCCAGGGCGTTGACCAGCCGTGCCTGCCCAGGGCAGCCTCCCCGGCCCCCTCTTGGTGGGAACGAGCGCCCCGCAGCGCGGAATAATCGTCGGCCCTCGCCCTGGGAACAGGCGCGGCACCGCTGGCCGTCGTCGGGGACCGGCGCCTGGGCTCACGCGAGGGGGAGTGCCAATTCTGCACAGCCCGCACCGTGGAGCTGCAAAGCTCGCCAGCAACGGCCCCCTCCCCCTTTTCCGCGGCCCACAGGTCCGCCTTTCTGCGACATCGGGTGCGCTGTGTGGGGGGAGGGCGGGATCCGCTGTCCCGAAGCGGAGCCGAACGCGCAGAAGCGAGGAGTAGGCCGGGCACGTCCTCCTACAGGCGGCCTTGGAAGAAAAAAATCAAACAACCGTCCCCGCATTTTTTTTTATCTTATGTTCGACTACTCGTCCTGTGGAGGGACATGCCCGAGTTTAAAGCGAGGAGCAGGAAGGAGAGGAGCGAGAGCCAGGGCGGCGGGAGCCCGGAGTGGTTGGGAGGAGCGGCACCGAGCGGAGGAGAGAAGCGACAGGAGAGCGAGCGGCGGCAGCCCAAGAGGAGGAGGGATGTTGGGAGGCACCTACTGGGAGGTCTTCGTCGGAAGGACTAGGGAGGATATAGGCCCCTTCGGGGGGCTGTTGCGCAAGAATGGGCCTCGGATTAAGCCGGATTAAGCCGGATAAAGCGGGATCAAGCAGGATTAAGCAGGATGAAACGGGATTAAGCCGGATTAAGCCGGACTTCGGACCAGGGCACAATCAGAATTTGACCTCCCAGGAAATGCATCCGACAGGATGGGGGGACGAGCCCGCCGGGCCCATCACTAGACTCGGGTAGACGCAAGATTCGGGTACGGGGGACTCTGGTTGGCCTGACGGAGGCATCATGAAAATGACGAGACCCAATCTGAAATTTGACGCGAGCTCCCGCTGCAAACGTCCCACGAACACAGGAAAGACAAAATCCAGGACGCGTTCGTCAAACAACTTCGGCAAACCCGAGTTCTGGCTTACTCGAGCCGAAAAGTTCCCCGTTGGAGGAGAACACAAAACACCACAAAAACAAACGAAACGCCGTTAACATTGACTGTTGGCGTTCCGCACGGATTTCTCGGATCTGCGCCAGACGCCCCTCCCTGGCGCGCGGAGCGCGCCAAGGGCAGCGCCGGAGGCAGGTCCCATGCTGCAAAATGAAGCCTCCCAGATCGGGGGAGAATCGCGCCGGATCGGCAACGCATCGGCGACGCATCGGCGACGCCGGCGATGAATCGGCAGCGTCGGCGTGGAGGAAAATCGAGCTCGAGGCGTCGCCGAGTCGCCAATGCAGCGGCGATGACAAATGAAGGCAGCCGCCAGTGCGGATGTGGAAGCATCCGACCCCACCTACTCCAGCCCCCCCTGGGAGGCCTGAGGACACGCGCTGGCAGGAGCTGCTGTCGGTATCCGACCCACCTCTGTGGGTGCCTGTATCGATCGCACCGACAAGTGCGCCCCGACGGGAAACAGAAGGACAGGCGGGTACGATGTCTTTGTGACCCTTGCCATATTCGGCGTTTCGATATTGGGCGGAAGGGAGGGGGGAGGGGGGGGGTCTGGCTCCAAACCTCTGCTTAATGCGACTATGATTTGCAACCGTGCGTCCCATGAGAGATACACCTGCTCGGAACAGGCGCCCGAAACAGCCAAGATCTACTCCATGGGGGTGGGGGGGAGGGGCGGTGGGCCCGCGCCGATCGGCAAAACAATGAATCAGAAAACGACGAGAGTTGTGGGATACGGACGACCAAACCGAGCATGTAGCGCGAGCATACGGTGATGCCAGAGAGCGTCCGCCACCCAGCTCACCTTGTAAGACCTATGAGCGCGAGTCGCCCTGCGCGGAGCGACGAGAGGTGTATATCTATGCTCTTTCTGGTATGAGGGTCACGCCGCCCCAGCGCCCACCGGAGTAGCCGCCACTGCTCGCCCTTCACGCGGTGCCACAGGCGCGAGCGCTCGACGGGGCGCGCGAGCTTCTCGGCCAGCATCTGAAGCACCTCTGCGCGCCGCCGCCCCCGCCCGTCGCCGTCGTCGTCGCCGTCGCCGTCGCAGTCGCCGTCGCCGTCGCCGTCGCCGCCGCCGTCGCCGTCGCCCTCGTCGTCGCCGTCGCCGTCGTCGTCGTCAAGGTCAACGTCATGGGCCGCCGCCAAGGGATGCCCAGGCGCCGGATGGCCCCCCCATGAGAAGGATGCTACAAATGTCGCCATCAACGACCAATCTCGAGAGTCAGAAATTAGCCTGGCGAAGGGCCCAGTCATATGCAGCTGTGAGTACGGTCGTTGTGAGTATCGTATTCGGTGGATCTCCTCATGGGGCCACGAAGCACGTGAATGGTGTGCCAAAATCTGGCGGGGCCACCATGCGGGCGCTGCCACTGGGGCCTTCGAGCATCGCGGGGGAAATGAAATGAAGGAGGGGGGCCAGCAGCAACAGAGGCAACTGGGGACGTCGGTGGAGCTCCCTATGGGGGCAACGAAACGTGCGAGAATGTGCCAAAATGGCGGGTTGGACCTCATGCGGGTGCTACCCCTGGAGCCTAAGGTGGAGCTCCCTATGGCATAGCCCTATTGGGCCACGGAACGTGTGAGGGTGTCGCCGAATGGGAAGGTGGAACGCCATGCGGGCGCTGCCACTGGGGCCTTGGGTGGAGCTCCGTATGGGGTCATGAAGCGTGTGAGGGGTGCCCCGACGTGCAAGGTCGAACCGCATGCGGGCGCTGCCACTGGAGCCTGAGGTGGAGCTCCCCTTGGGGCCACGAAACGTGCGAGAGGTGCACCGAACTGGGAGTGGAACTGCGTGCGGGCGCTTCCACTGGGGCCTTCGGTGGAGCTCCCCATGGGGCCACGAAACGTGTGAGGGGTGTGCCGCAATGTAGGGTGGAACTGCATGCGGGCGCTGCCACTGGGGCCGTCGGTGGGGCTCCCTATGGGGCCACGAAACGTGCGAGGGGTGCACCGAACTGGGGGCGGAAGTGCATGCGGGCGCTGCCACTGGGGCCTTCGGCGGGGCTCCCGATAATGCCACGCAACGTGCGAGGAGTGTGCTGAAATGGAGCGTGGAACTGCATGCGGGCGCTGCCACTGGAGCCTTCGGTGGAGCTCACATGGGGCCACGAAACGTGTGAGAGGTGAGCCGAAATGGAGGTCGAACCGCATGCGGGCGCTGCCAATAAGGCCTTCGGTGAAGCTCTCTATGGGGCCACGAAACGTGTGAGGGGTATGCCGAAATGGGAGTTGAACCGCATGCGGACTGGGGCCTTCGGTGAAGCTCCCTATTGGGGCCACGAAACGGGTTGGGGGTGTGCCGCAACAGTGACACGCGGAGGGAAATGGCAGGGTTGGGATCTGTGACGTGAAGGGCACGAGGGGGGAGCGGGAGAAAGGAAGGGCACGAGGCGGCTGTCTCCTCGAAACGAAGACCACACACCACAGGATGGCTGGGAACAGAAACAGCACGGGCGAAGACGTTGGAGGAGCCGCGCCCCCCTCCGTGGCGGGCGACGGAGGCGCCGCCAGAGGAGGTTCACCGCCGACCGGGAAGTCCGCGCGGACCTCGGACACTGCATCGACGTCGGGACGGAGAAAATCGGACTCCGGATCGCGCCACATCGCCGATGCATCCGCGACGCGGCGCCATCCTCCGACCCCATCCATCTGTTGGGAAGCATGGAGCTCCATCCTCGAAACTCCCCGTCTCTCCAGCCTCCAACACGGGTAGGACCAGCGAGACGAGAGGCGGCGCGGGGGGGGGAGTACAGTGGAGGCCCCGACCTCAAGAGACCTTCCACCAGAAACCCAACCCTGAGACCCCAGGACGCACACTGATTTCCAGTGTGGGAGCGTCACGCTCTCCGTAACATAACCATCCAAACCCAACAAAACCCATGGCACCCTGGAGGCAAGCAGGGTGCTTCTTGGCATGGGTCTCCACTGTAGCGAAGACACCCGAGCGCCAACGGCGGCCAGGTTGCCCCGTGGCACGGGGCGCGCGATGGGGGTCTCTTGGAGGGGGCTTCAGGAGGGAGGGGATGGAGGAGGAGGAGGAGGAGGAG